CGGCACCGACGCCGCGAAGAAGCCCGACTGGGTGGCCGGCAAGCAGTAGACGAGAACTAATCCTTGAGTTTGAGATAACATTTAACCCTTTGTTTGAAATGCTTTTCGAATTTAAACGCATTTTCAATGAATAATGAATAATAAAACGAGTTTTGAATCTATTTCTGTCTTAATTATTGTCACGCTTTGACGACAACAATAGAGAAGCAATTAATAAACTATTTGTCGAAAAGATATTAATAGTAGAGAAGAGAAGAGTATAAAAGAGAAAGTGCTGTCAATTCATGTTCATATTCATATTCACTTCTCGCGCAAAACAGCGATTAAATGGTTTGAATTTGAATTTCATATTCACATATATTTCTAACGCTTTAATCGTAAAAAAGGACGAAAAAGAGCGCAAAAGAGCGGAACTGCGGCAGCGGTTGGAGGCGGAGATGAAGTCCGCGAAGAAGAAGGGATTCATGACTCCCGAGCGCAAGAAGAAACTGAGGGTTGGTTAGAGTGAAGGAATAAAGGGTTAATTCTGGTCTCTTTGGCAGCAATTGTTGCGCAAGAAAGCGGCCGAAGAGCTGAAGAGAGAACAGGAGTTGAAATCCATAGAAAGGAAGCGCATTATCGAAGAGCGAACCGGAGTTCCGAAGAACGTCAAAGAGATCGCCGACGAATCAGGTTTCGGAACTAATCTCTTGGGATTCGGACACTAATTGTGTTTCTTTGTCAGAATTGATCGCAATTTGCGAAGAATATCACAAAAGGATTGTGTTTTTGGACGAAAAGAAGTTCGATCTCGAAGTGGAAACTGTTGGCAAAGAATACGAGGTTTTTGTGTTTGCTTTTGTCGCGTTTCTCACTCTTTATCTATAGATCAACGAATTGTCGGCCAAAGTGAATGACGTCAGGGGGAGATTGTGAGTGCGGTGTTGACGGCTGTGACGTCACTAATCCCGTCTCTATCTGCAGTATAATCCCGCCGCTGAACAAGATCTCGAAGACGGCGACGCAGTTGGAGAAGATGCGTCAGTGGACCATGAAGTTGGCCAAACTGGACATGAAGGGCAGTCTTCGGCCCGTGAAGAAGGACATCTCGAAGGAGTTGGGCGCCCGCGAGACGGACGTCAGTATCTGTGACGTCATATTTGTATTGATTATTGGTTTTCATTTCCAGAAAGCGTTTGAATGGAAAACCAAACAATCGCTAAACGAATGAATAGTTTTTGAAATCAGAGATTATTTCCATAGAAATAGTGCAGAAATGCAAACAATTTCCGAAATTATTTTCGACTCGAAACCCATTTTGTTGCGAAAAACCCCCGAAAAAGACGTCCATTTCCTCATCGAATACAAGGCCGAAGAAGACGTGCTTTCGGTCACCAAAACAGAGACTTTCGGCCAAAAGCGACCGAAACTCGAGCGCTGGACGACTATTCGGGAACTGCTGTTCGCCGAACACGAAGAAGACGTCGACGGCGAGGAGCGGAACTCGAATGGAGACAAAGACTACGAAGAAATCGAGGTTTTGGACGAAAGCGAAGACAGAAGCGAAGAATCGGACGAAAAGTCGGAAATAGTTTCCTTTATTTGCGATTATTTCCACTGTTTTAATGTCTTCAAAGTCCTCGCAATCGTTCTCTGTGTCAACGGTTTCGTTCTTCAGTCCATTCTTCTCCTCTCCGAACCGGAAATGCGTTTCTCGCGTGAAGAAGATTCTCTCAATTCTCTCGCCGTTTGTTTTCGAACTCAAATCACCGCCAATTCGACGCTCAGAGAGGTGTTGTCTCATTCGCCGCAAACGCGATGCGAACGCGAAGACAGTGACATCTGTGGAGCGAAACGGAAATCTCTTTTCGAAAACCGATTTCTTTGTCTTCACTTTGAGTTCGAAAACGAGATCCAGATTTTCGCCGATTTTTCGTCGAATATTTTGCTCCAAATCCACTCCAATGGCGAGACTGCGGACGAGAGTGCGGCCAAACTGGAGCTCTCGCTCGACTCTGGGCTCGAACTCCGGTTTTGGACTTTAATTGCGGAACAATTGGAAGAGAATTGCGAACAAAGAGTGGAATCGCGGAATGAATGCTTTCAACACTGTTTACGCCAAACGCTAAACAATGACTGCCATTGCATTCCCGAAAGCGGACTAAATGTCCATTTGTTCCCCGAATTCGAAAATCTCGCCTTTTGTGCGAAAAGCAATTGTTTTTCCGAAAATTCGTTCCAAAAGTGTCTCAAAAAGTGTCCAAAGGTTTGAATTTTCGACGATTTTTCCATTTTTAACGCATTTTTCTCTCCGAACAGAATTGCGAACAAAATATTCACTTTTTGTCCACAATTTCGGACTTTTTTGAACCAAAAAATCAGACATTTCTTCGCATTCGTCGACAAAGACTCGC